TTACACCAAATTCACTCAAAATCCTCAACTTTATAAGATAGGGTATCTATTTTGAGTATCCATCTCGTTACACCAAATTCACTCAAAATCCTCAACTTTATAAGATGGGGTATCCATTTTGGGTATCCATCTCATTACACCAAATTCACTCAAAATCCTCGCTTTTGAAGAATATTGGGTGTTTCAAAATCTCGATACCCGAGTTCCGGATATTATGACATCCCTCTCGAAAACTATGGTTGGTTAGTATTTGCTATTTTTTTCATTGTAAGATTTTTAACTAATTCAAATTTCTCATATATTTCTTCGTTTCTAATAAAGACTTGTCTTTTTTTATTTAAGCTAAATTTAAATATAATTATAAAGTTCAGTTAGATTTACATTTCTTTTAGCTCCTATTAACATAAAAATAAAAAGATTATTGTACTTGTAATTTTTTCTTAGCAGATTTTGTCTAAGTACTGTATTTCTCATGTTAAATAAATTAATTGTTCATATTGTTGGGATAAAATATTTGTCGGTTTAAATAAATATTTGAAGTATTTATCACTCATCCATATTAAATGTATTTCATTTAATTTAATTGAATGAGATTTTATTCCATATAAATGCTAATTCATATAATTGTAATCATGTTCTTGTACGACTTTCTTTATCATAAAGGGCTTCATGTGTATTTAATTTAGATGATTAAGAATTTGATGAAATATTATTTGCTGTTTGATCACGTTATTTTACTGTTGTTTGATGTGAACGACAATCTGTTGAATCATCATTTTTATCAAATATCTGAGTAGGATTTACATTGACTATTGATAACATGCCATTATCATCATGTCGCCATCTATTCATTTTAAGACTATAGACTAGTCTATTGAGTGATAACTACTATTCGTTCTTGACTTTTCTTTCTTTCTTGTTTCCATTGTAGCTTATTTTATATAAAGAAGAGAAAAAACATGTATAGATTAAAAAAATCAAATTTTCTTAGATTGTGCATAACATAGATCGTTTCATATCACTTCTATATTGATGTGATAGTTTCACCAAAGAAGCAGTACCGTAGCGTATTTGAAAACAAAGACTATACGGATGATGACAGACTTAAAGTAATTTCGTGTTATTTATTATTAATTGGTAACAATACTTTTTCTTCTTAGATTTTAAACAACATAATTGCTAGTTCACAATCGATTCAGGATCAATTGATATATTATTCACAGCGTGCAATTCTATATTTCAATATGTCTAAATATAATGGTGAGTGAATGTTAACTTTTATTAATTCTAATTTTTTATTTATTTTTGTTCAGAAGCTTTATTAGATATCCAATTCATCGAGACGCACCAAAGTCTATCTGACTCATTGATTCTCATTAAATGGTATAGAATTTCTACTTCTTATGTGAATATTAATAGAAAATGATGGTTTTTTATTTAATAGTAAATCAACTTTTCATGCTGAAGCAAGTAAAATCAGAGATTTGCTTAAATCATCAATGGGTCTAAAGAGTAAGAAACTTTTCTCTATAAAAACAATATACGATATAATATTTTCTCTAGTACTTGACGACAAGGACTGTATGAATTTTTACAATGCTCTAAGTCCTGAGAACATGGATAATATTATTGGACGTATGTTTAAATGGTATTTCATATAAAGAGACTGTTTTAATATATTTCTAGATAAGAAAAAAAAACAATGTTCCACTTTAAAACGATTAACAAAATGATTTTTTCCATTTGTTTTTCCACTTTTTTTTCATACAAATTATTCGAAGTATATTTGAATAATATTCGACGTCAAACGATTTTTTATTATATATTCTTTAGAAAATTTTCAAAAAAAAATTTCAACTTTGATCGGTTCCAAAAACATTCTTTCTCGTTTCGTTTTCTTCTTTCTTTATAAGCAAACGAAAACAAGTATGTTAAATTGTATCCGAACTCGACAAATTATTTATTCGTTTTTTATAGGAAAACAAAAAAAAATATAACGTTGATCGATCCCAAAAACATTCTTTCTCGTTTCGTTTTCTTATTTTTTTTATAAGCAAACGAAAAAAGTATGTTAAATTGTATTCGAACTCGACAAATTATTTATTCGTTTTTTATAGGAAAACAAAAAAAATATATAATGTTGATCGATCCCAAAAACATTGTTTCTCGTTTGGTTTTCTTCTTTTTTATTATAAGCAAACGAAAAAAGTATGTTAAATTGTATTCGAACTCCACAAATTATTCATTCAGTTGTTTAATAGAAATCAAAAAGAATTTGATCAACGGTGATGCAAAATAAAAAAATGTTCATCAATTTTTTTCTGTTGTGCTCTAAAGATCTCATTAAAAGTATGTTAAAAAATGTACTCCAACTCAATCTATTATTCATTCATTCAGTTTTTTGAACACATTATTTACGTGGAAAACTTTTTTAAATAATAAATTATTTATTACAATAATACTTTTTGCATTGAGCGAGTAATTCAATATTGATATTTATCGAATAAATATTTAAAAGAGTTCTGAAGAAAACAAAATTGGTTTTATAAAGATAAATATTCACTTACAATAGCAAGATAACACTATATGAACGCAATCTTAGTGAAGATAATTAATATGAAGTTGTTTCGAAATTGGCCTATAGTAGTGATTTTGTTTTTTGAAGTTTTATTTTAATTTAAATTGATTTTTCGATTTTAATGATAAGCAACAATCGTTATTGATTATTATGCAAAGCAATAAAACTGCTAAAAAATTATGCTGAAATGTTCTGTCAAGAAAATTTATGTTGAAAAAATATGATTTGTTTCTTTGTGTTTCTTAAAGAAAACAAGAATCAAATAAATAATGTTTTTTCTTTAGAGACTGGCGTTTGCTTATCACATGTTGTTGATCATTATCTTTGTCAATCAAGTTATTCAGATTGTTAACGTGAATATTCTCAACAAAAATTTTATTGATTTACTCGTTGTGAAAATGGTTCAATTCATATTTTACTATCTCATACAGGTAACATTTTTATTCTATGTCCATTAGATAATGCTGCTCTTTTTTGTGAAAACATAACAATAATCTCATGTAAAAACTGACATTACAGTAATTCAAGCAAATGTGCTTTAAATATTAATAAATATAGACGATGTTTATATAGAAAATACGATACAAGACTTTATTGTGACATATTAATATATTCTTTTCGCTTCATATTAAAATTATTATTTGTATAGATCTATGTTTTTGGTTTAGAAAATAATGGTATATGTTTACATAAAAGAACTAATCAAATATACTTAATGTACAAATAATCCTTCACATATAAATGGTTCTGAAAATTGAAAACAATTATTTGGTTCATTACATCAATGTATGAATATTGGTGTACGTTTTGAATTTGGAACAAGTCATGATTATTTAAGCTATGAGCGAACATCACTCCTGTAGCAGGAAAAAACAACCGACTTGATACAACATTTTATAAGGACAAGTTGACCAGGCAGGGAAAAAAAAGTAAAACGGAGAAACAAAAGCTTTAGTTAACATTGATCCAGGGATATATGTGATATAGATATTTGACAGACGAAAAGAAGAGAAGATTTTCATCAATGATAACATAAAATAAAATCGAACAAAGATAGACGATCTTCGGATAGCATTTTACGAATATTTTTACGGATTCTTCCTCTGCCAAATATTTTTCTTCTTTCAATAGCTAATATTAGATTAGAGAGATATTCACGAAGGTACAGGATCGATAATTTGTGTTGTAAGAAATCTTCAAGGATACTAGGATTTGTTACTAAAATTGTATGAATTAATTTATCCCAATGTTTGGATGTTAATTTCGAGATAGATTGATGTTGTTTGGGTAGATTTTCGATTTCGATATTTCTTGCATCGAACCATTGGTGTATTACTCTGAATATTTTTCGATTCAGACCTTCCAGCTGTTTCTGTTTTGATGAAGTAAGGATAAGATAAATGTTGAGTATTGATTGAAGATAGGGTCTGATAAATGCATTATCCAGTCGATAATTTACTTGTTCACTCATCATACGACTTGAATTTAATCGTTTGAATATGTTCATGTTGGTACGAATTTTTGTTTTGATGTAGTCTATATGTGCTGTAAAAGATAATTTAGCATCTAATATAGTACCCAAATATTTGAATTTTTTAATGTGTTCGATATTGTGACCATTGCATATAATATTTGGAATTTGTCGATCGACTTGACGATTGAAGAGAATCCAACATGTTTTGCTGGAGTTTATTGGCTGTTTCCACTTGATTGAATAGTTAACCAGATGAAAAAGTACATGTTTTATTTAATTAGCTAATGCATTTATCATATTTGATGAAGACATTGATGGCGATGGTGAGACTAAGATGGCAAGATCGTCGGCAAATAAATGTTTCCAATGGACAGTTGATAATGCTTGAAGAATATCATAATGATATACTATGAATAACACCGGACCAATACAACTGCCGTGTGGAGCCCCTTTGGAAAGATTGAACAAGGCAGATGATGTGTTTTTAATATCGATATAGGCTTTTTTGTGTCTTAAATAATGACGAAGCCAAGCGATTAAATATAATGGACGTTGCAGACTGGTTAGTTTCACCCATAGTCCGTTGAACCACAGTTGGTTAAACGCAGTGCGAAAATCAACAAAAAGTGCAGCAGCTGCTGTATTTTTTGATAAACACTGCCATATTTGATCTATAATAGCAACTAAAGGCACAGCCATGTTATGATCGGGACGAAAGCCACTTTGTTCAGCTGGGAGAATACCTTGTTCGTTAATCCATTGACGAAAATGTATCAGAAAGCATTTATTTTTCGAACAATTTTGAGAAGCACGGCAGTAGAGAGATTGGTCTTGTTTCTTCAATAGAGACAACTTTTGATTTTGTTTTTGATAAAAGCATCATTTTCGCAATATGCCAATATAATGGTGTTTGCAAGGTAGCTGGGAAGTTGTTCAAGCACGAGAGGATGAATGACAGATGGCCTGGAGGAAGTAATTTTATTAATCGATTTGATACTCCATCTATACCAGTCGAATTTTTATTTTTTAAAGAAGTAATGAATCGACGAAGATGATGGTAAGTAATATTAATAGGAATAGTCGGTCTGTCTGTCAAGATTGTTTCAATTTCAACATTCAGATTGTTGGCTTCAATTTCAATTTCCGACTGAGTGAGTTGATGACTAGAAAATTGTTCTTCATAAAACGTTTTGGCAATGTTACACATGTCGATCGGCGAGGAGACGATGGTGTTGTTGGTGAGAAAACCTTCTATAGGTGCAGCACGAGAATTGAAATGACGCTTTGCCTTTTTCCAGAAGACTGTTGTATCACAATCGTTAAACGAATTGCAGTACTTCAGCCACGAGTTTCTTTTGTGGAGAAATAGCTGCTTGTGTACCATTTTAGACATATCACGTAAAACAACAGCAAAATGAGGATGACGTGTTTGACGAAATAATTTGAGATATTGACGTTTTTGTTTAATCATATAGATAATATGTTGAGGTAAAGACGGTTTAACTGTTTTTCGGAAGGTGATGAAAGTAAGACGTGATGTGCATAACGAGAGAAAACGTTCATATAATAAGAAGAAAGCTGCTGAATATGACATAGAAGCAGCTAACGATTGCCAATACGTTGCTGTAAATATAAGAAAAATTTTGAGAAGATTCCAACGGGTGCACTTGATAGGAAAACGGTGATGAGTGGAGGATATTTTAAATGACGGATGCCATAGAACGGGATGATGATCATTTCCAATACTTGGAAGAACCGAGAAGGAAGTAGACGACATATGCGATGGTGCAATGATTAAATCAATTGTTGCATTTGAACGAGTTGAAGTAGGTATGTATTTGTTAATAATTTCTAGAGATGAATGTATTGGTGATGAAGATAGCCAGCTGAATAAAGCTCGACCCTTTTGGTTATCTGCAGATCTTGACCATGAATTGTGTTTAGCGTTAAAATCCCCGATAAAGATTGAATTTGGATTACGTTGAAGTAAACGATCAAATATATCAAGAGGAATGGGTTCAGTAGGTGGAGAATAACATGTAACTAATTGAAACATATCAAAATCTGATCCAACTTCCAACACGATTAAATTACATAAATTGTCAAATTCATCTACACATTGTGAATGGATTGCTTTATGCACCGCTATTAACACACCACCAAACATATTTGTTCCTTTCATTGAAAAAACATTAAAGTTAAAGAAATGAGACCTAAATTGTTTGACCGAATTATCATCATGATGCGTACCATTTAGTATCACAATTAGTGATGATATTGAATCAATTAATTTGAATACGTCGACGAAGTACTTGTTTAAACTAGAGACATTTAATAGAAGAAGAGATATATTTTGTTTTATGTTCATCAAAGAAAAATTTTTATCACGATGGTTTGTCCATTTTTCAAATAAAAGATCAAGTGTGGGAGTATCAGTCCATTCACATAATAATTCTTGAAAGATGTTTACTTCAGCTTTTGTTAATTGATCGATATTGATAGAATAAAATTTCTTTTGATTTGGTTTAAAAGTCATCGCTGATGGATTCATTTGATGAGGAATTTGGTAATATAGCATTGGTTCGTGTACCAAAAGCAGTTGATTTAGTTGCTTCTTTGAAATCTTGTTTGAATTGAATAAGTAATGGCCGTAGACGATCTTTCTCTACTTGTTTGCTCTTACCAAGAAATGCATCACTCAGTTCACACAAATGGACAGAATTTGTTCATAATAAATTCTTTTAATAGATTAATTTCTTTATAACATGAGTTGAGAAGTTGAATTAAATTGTGAGTACTTGAATTAATGTTGGCTTGTTCTATTTTAATCATAAGTAAATCGAGTTTCTTCGAAATGTCCAAGATTGCATTTGCATTTGTATTTTCTTGAATATTTTCAAATGCACTGGATGGATGAATAGGTGTATTGCGTTTAGGTTGATTTATTGTCCAAACGGAAGAAGAAAGATTTTCTTGATTCGATTTGATTTGTTGTTTGTGGTCGAAGAGATGCTATTTTGATATCTTCTTCTTTCTTCTATTTTTATTGGACAATTTGGATTGCCTGCCATGTGATCTTGATGACAGTTTGCACAACAAATCTTGTTAATACACTTTGGATTGTATGGATGATTTTGACCACAACGAAAGCAAGTAGGATTGTCCTTGTGTGGACAATTTGCCGCAATATGATCATTGTATTGTTGACAATTAAAGCATCGTAATATTCGAAGTGGTGGTGAATACGGTTGGATCATGAATGATATATTATCATCATCTAATAATAAGCTTTTGTTCTTGATAATTTTGTTAACTTCTTGATTGGATGAAAAATCAATTCGTACTTTCGAAATTGGTATACCACCTTTAATATAAAGCCGTTCAACTTTGATAATTGTCGGATATTGCTTTTTGATATCTGATTCGAATACAGTTAAATTCCATTGAGCAGGAACACCTAATGCTACAATAGAATAAGAAGAGGAAACTTTAGATGGTAAATCTAGAGAAAAATCAAGAGAACATATTTGTTTAGGCCAAATATTTTTATCCGTTAAACGATCAAGTTGTTCACTTGAGTTGGCATATAAAAGAAAACTTTTATTGTGTCCCATTTTTGAATATCGACCGTAGATGATGCTGATGCGACATTGCTTGTTGATGTCTAACGTGACGTTATAATGACATCGAAATATGCATAATAATTTCTGGTTGAGATAAGATACATTCACCCGCACGCACATTCACTGTTTCGCCATTGTGTAAATATCGAATCTCTAAATTGGAATTCATCGTTATTCTTTCGCAAATCTCTGGTGAAAATCTACAGTGACAACTCACCAGCTTGATCAACACAGTCCAGATAATTTAGCAAAGTTTCACTTCCTTCCCATTTCTCTTTCAAATGATGAAAATCGCAGATTTCTAGCTACTTTCGTTCTTGAGATGTTAAAAAGAAATATCGAGATGCATTACATTATGGTACGAAAAATAATAAATATATCCCATCAATGTCGTGCATATGTTGCGAATGATACACACGGAGATGACTCAACATCGAATAATTTAATAAACCTGTGTGTTTTAATTATTTTGAATAAGTCAGAAAGAATTGATCACTCATGATCAAATACATGTACTTTAATAATCATCGAAGTTAGCAAGACCAAGCAGCAAATAAACTAAGTTATCTCATTTAAAAAACTCTTCTTTTCGACAAATATGGAAAGGTTTTAGTCATCTTTAATAATTATGTTTCTTTTCATATTATTCGAAGAGTATATATTATATAATTTTCATTTTAATAATAAAGAACATTTTAAATAAATCATTCAGAATGCCAACTTCAAGAAAAAAAACTAGTTGAGAATTCTTTCTCTATTAGATGATCACAACAACATATTAAATCATTTGTTTAACGAATACACAGTTAATACAATTATGATTTATACATGTTTATTTTGTTATGGAACTCTAAATCCACCTAATGATATATTTTCAATTAAAATCAAATTTACATATAATAATTGAACCAGAAAATAGATTAATCAAACGAACAAAATTTATACTTTTTCAAAAAAACAAAAAAAAGTTTTAAAAAATGAAATGCTGAATTATCAGATGAAAATTTTTATTTTTGATTCTAATCTGATGGCATACGAAGAAGAGTAATTTTAACATGATCATGTTTGCCTTGAAATAATACTTCATATTCATCGGAAAAATGAATATAACCATGTTTTCGTGCTCGAAGAAGTATACCAACGAGTTTATTTGAAATATTTGTATAGAACTAATGATAGAATTATTATTTAATCGTGAAAACAAAAATAACTATTAATACATACATCGAATAATTGTTTAAATGTTATTTCATAAGTTGATGTTGATGAATCATCTAGTTTTTTTCCTAGACTTTTGATAGTTTCACATAAATATTTAACTTCTTGTTGAATATGAGCTTGAGCAGCTAAACCTCGTTGTTCAGTTCGACTACCTTTTGGCGGTCGACCATATCTAATTTATTTCATTCAATAAAAATATATATATATTTCTTCTTTAAATAAAATTTTCTTACTCGGGATCACCTTTTTTATAAATTCGACACGGTGTCACTTGAGAATTTTTAGAGTAAAACTTCGACAAACGATCGGGTAATGGTGGAGCTGATGGTATCATGATGAATATGCATATATGTCGTTTCTTCTTTTTTTTCTCTTTTGCTTATCAACTTATCTATATATATCGTACTTGTACATATGCACAAGGACGAAGTTCTATCGGAATAAGCAGTTTGGTTGTATGTGTAAATATTCCAAGGAAAGTAATCAACAGAACCGAACAGAAAAGAAAAAGATGATGTTATGTCATATGACATAATGCTTCCTTGGAAATCTATATTGTCATATGTGCCATTTTGTTATAGAAAAAAGATCTCAGTCTTATTCGTTGAATGAAAGAAACAAAGTCGATATTTTATTTTTGCTAAATTTGTGATGAAAAATAAAATCATTTATAGAAAATCAGTAACGGATCGAGTGAGTAGCAGATTAGCATGGTTATACTACTGAAAAGGACTTCGGAAATCGGTTTTTGGCTACGACCGCCAACCTCTTGCTGATATCCTGAATTCGCTACTGCTGCAAATAACAAATATTCCATAGATAATTTTATTCAGCAATAAACCATTGAATTTCCAGTTTATTTAAAAAAATATTTTCTGTACAATGTTTATCCGACATCGTACAGAAACATCATCGAAGAAATTAAAAACTGTGGAACAGGAACAGGAATATATATCATATCAATCAAAAAAACAAAAAAATCTTCTCCTTAAAAATTTAACTTCGACAGGAAGCATAAGATATTAATGAAATTTTGCATAGACATTTGACTCATGGAAATATATTAATAAAAAAAAATTTTCATGGTTCCGTATCTTACCATTCAGGCAATTCCCAGAGACGAAGTTGCAGAACTCGGATGGTGGCCTTCATTTGAAAGAGAACTCCTTACCGTGTCCGATGAGAGAACGAGTTTTTTTTAAATTTTTACTTAGGGTTTATCTAGCATTGACGATTAATTAGGAAATTTCTTTCCATCAACTAAACGACTATACATATATCTATAGATACAAACAAAAAACATAGCTCTCTAGAACAAAATGTATTTTAAAAAAATTTGTTCGTAGTTCGATCATTATCGAAAAAATCAATTTTGGAGAGAACCGTAAAAGGAGGTTTTCTTTTATATAGTCTTCGTATTATTACTTAAAATGGGAATGAAGCATAAATAGGGTGTGAGTATGAGCGCAAAAAAGATCCAAATCCGCATCATCATGTCATTTTAGATCTCAAAAATGTTTCTCTAAGATGTACAAGACTTAATTACCGCTGAAAAATTTGTTTATTTCGAAGACCTAACTCTACACAAAAAATTTACTGATTGCTCTGAACATTATGATTTGTCCAGATAGTTTTAAAGGTTATTCATAAAACCTCAAAAAATCTTTGATATTTTTATAAATTCGTATATAAGGCAACTCAGTCAACATGTTCATATGTCAATATTGTATCAATTTGTTTTAAATACTATTAAAATTATTTCTAATTTTCAATAATGTTCTTATTCTACGATGAATTCTCGATTTCTAAATTAGTTTTCCATTGTAAGACAAAACAAAAAATGAATGTCGATTTACGAAAATATTTTATTCAAGCAGGAAAAAAAAACGTCAATAAACACACACATACAAACGGGAGGAAAATGAAGAATGCAAAAAAAAAAAAGAAAGACCAGTTCAATGATGTCGTTTCTTTTTATATGGGTGTTGATGTTCATATGCAACATTTCCATAATAATCAAGTGCTACAGTATTTCCAGTACCATATGGTGGTGATGGAGAACCATATGAATATGAATGATAAGTATTACTAAAAAAAAATATTTTCTAGATTAATCAAAGAATTTCTCCAACATACCGATTATCAGAACTGTCTCGAAAGCCTTTAGCAAATGGATTATTATCAATTTTAAGTTGAGTAACCTATTGAATAGAAACAAAAATTAAACAAAAAAATCATATGAAAATAAAACAAAAAAAAAATCATACATCAGTATTTTGATAAGCTGTAACAGCAATAAATTGTGTTTCAGGAAATGTAAATGTATGTTTTGGTGGTGAATTTGATTTATTAGATGATGTTGGATCTGATGATCGACCACTTACTTCAACAATATTTAAACGTGGCATGTATTTATGCATTGAATTAAGAATAAGTGTCATCTTTAAAAAAAACAAAAAATATCAAAACAATATTTTTCCTATTAAAATTTTAATCAAAATTCTTACTTGATTTTGTGGATGACTTGTTGGTAATTGTTTATTATTCGTTAATTTTAATTTTGAAAATGAAATTTTTTCATTTCTCATCCAATGTGCACCACTATTCGGCGAATCCGGATGTAAATAGACATGATCTAACATATACAAATTATTATTTTTCAACAAAAAAACATGTAAATATCTTTTTTACTTGTCTTTTGACATTGTTCAGCTTGTCCCGATGGTACCCATTTACCAGAATTAAATTTCCAATGATTAACATCAACTAAAACCATATCAACATACATATTATATGTTGCTTCAGGTTTTAATCCATAAACTTTATATTCAAGTGTTGGAAACATACGACGACCAGCTATTAAAATTAGATTTCAATTTTATTCAAAAAAATATCGAATAATAAAACGTTACTTTTAGTTATAATATTTTCAAGTGTATGTGGAGCAAATTTTAACCATAGCGATCGATTGACTAATTCAACTATAATTGAATCGGATCGACAAACTCCATTTAATGGTGACTGAAAGAAAAAGAATAATCTATCAATTTTTTTCAGACTATTGTAAATAATATAAAATAACGATTCGCAGGGATGTCTCCAGCGTCCCCAATTCTGGCGACACCACTGTCAAATCATCTAGCTGTAATATTAATGCAATCTTTGATTACTTAGACGATCGATGATTAAATCATACATAGTAAAATAAAATGTTTGGCATGTCTATGTTTTAGAAAGTAAACATAAGGTTGTCTCGATGTGACTTCTAATAGTGTAGCCAAGAGTGCACTAAGCGGGGTGCCACCCTACTTCCCAAGATCTCCTGGTTATGTCACTAGTGACTATGGAGAAAATAGGATTCACGACATGCGGGTCGACTAGAGCTCGTCGAGTTCGGGTCCAAAAATTCTTGGACCCGAGGGGTTCTAGGGCTGATCCTTGTTGTGAGGATTGGTGAGCAAACAAAATGAAGAAAACCGTTCAATTTCACTTGGAAAAATGAAAACTTCTCAAGATTGGAGGGTATACGTCTGAGTAAACATACTTATTTTTGCTAGTATCTTATTGAGAAAGAAAAAGAAACCTGTTCATCAAAACTACTTGGAGATGATACTATCATGGAAAAAGGAGTCTTCACTTACATAAGGTGTTAAATAATCTCCACTATTGCTCGTACTACAAGCTGTTTGTTCAACAGGTGTTTGAACATAATTTTGATGTTGATGAAACATTTGATTTGATTGTATAGTTGGTATTGGAGATAAATTATAATCATAAATAGAAGTTGATTGTTGATCGGATGTTTTTTGTGAAAATAACATATCTTCAGATGAATAATGATGACGATGATGAGAATGAGAATGAGAATGAGGATGAGAATAAATTGGCATATAAATAGATGAAGATCCTTGATTATTTGAATCATCATCATTAATACGTGTATTTGTTTGTGAATGAGAATATCCAGGTGAAAGTGTATAATATTGTGTAGGTTCATAAAAATTTGATGTTTGTGAATGATGAAGATTATTTGTTTCATCATTATATGATACTGGATGATAATAATAATGATGATGTTGTGGGGTATAATGTGTAGAATAATATTCTGATGAAATTTTAGTTTCATCATCTTCTTTAGTAGCAAGTGGCGTTAACATAGTGGTGCTGTTCACGCTCTCTATGCGACAGGTGCTAATCGACGAAGAGAAAACGATGAACAATAATGAACGGAAGTTAAAAAAAGAAAAAGAATATGTCTATTTAGGAACGAGAGAGAAAGAGAGAGAGAGAGAGAGCAAGAGAGAAAATAAAAACGACCAATAATAATTATGAACCAATAAAAAACCCGAGAAAAACATTTTTTTTTTTCTTCGCAGTTGATAAATTACAATGAGGCAAAGACAAAAATATTTTTTTTGTTCTTAGAAAAAAAAAAGGAAACTAAAATTTTATATCATATTTCAAACACAGCAGGTTATCATTTAAAACTTTGATTTAAAGTGATAATTGCATTCACTTATTCAAGTCGGATTCATTCATTACCGAATAAATGAATAGAAAAATGTATCACAGAGAATAAAAATAGTTCTGTTCGTGTTTCAAGTGTGAATAACATTTGAAAGATTTTTTTTTTTATCCGTACATATGTTAAATATTGTCCAAAAAAAATCCAATGAAAAAATATCTATAAATAATAATTCGTCGAACTACACTTTTATTCTTGTAATATAAAAGATCTGAATTAGACTTTTTCTTTCAAGAACGCAACAGCAATAGATCAAGGGTTTTCGAAGAAGGGAACGATCATAGTCATAAAACGTGTCGGTGTTTTCTACTGAGAAAAATCAAAAAATAAAATTTTAGAGGGGAGAAACAATCGCTCTCAGTACCTCATTCTAAATCTGTCACTGTACATGAGTTTTCGAGAATTATTAGAGTTTTTCGTTAAATTCTGTTATCATCAAACGAAAGAAATTAGACTGCGAAGGTGCATACCTAGCTGCGGATGAGGACTAACTTTTGCAAAACTATGATTCTCTTTTATTCCAGTTAAAATATATCATATGTTATCAATAGATAAATTTGGTGGTTTAAAATAAATCTAATAAATTCTGGTAGCACCTTCCATGATAATGCAGGATTCAATAAATATGTTTAGAAGAATTATTATAACAATCGTTCCTATTGATATTTTAGGTGTCATTTTGCATTTGAAATTCATTTTCATTTTTCTCAACTCTCTTCTTTTCTTTTCCATTATCAGCTTTTATTTTTTTGTGATTTACTTTCATCTGTCATCATCAATCTTCTGCATACGGTTCGGAATTGAAGATCGAAGAAATATCAAGTTGTATGCATATACTTTTTCTAACACTCAACAAACAATATTGTTCATTATCAATTGTTCTTCTTTAAGTTTGAAGAATTATCAATGTGTATCAATTTGTTATATTTCTTCTACAAACAAATGATGAATGATATCGTAGTCATCATATTATGTCATAGTGGATATCAGACATCTTGTCATTAAGGTTGATTTCTGATAGTTACTTTGAGACATAGGCATGGTTACGGTTAATATTGTATTCATTAAGCATAACTGATTGTTAGGAAATATCGATATGATTATTCATTTTGCTATCGTTAAGAAAAGCCAATATTAATTTTATATTTTTTGTAGTAATAGATGATTGGATATTTGGTTTTAAAATTAGTTCGAGAATTTCAATTTATACTTAATTAAAACTAAAAAAAAGATCGACTTCAATTTTTTTTTTTTTAATATGAGAGAATTATTTCTTATATATATATATAATGAATAAAATAATCTTATTCATACTGTGATTTCATTCGAAGAAAATATTCTGGTGCCAGCTTAATTTGTTCCATCTTGTTTTTCTTTTTTTTTTATATAGATTAAATTGAGATTTGAATTTTATATCATCACGCGATATTGTCAGAGAATATACACGTGCTATATGAATGCTCTCTTGTGGTATGCACCTTTCATCCAACTAACCTCATGTATCACACGTTCACTTTTTGCTATTATATGTCTATTATCACATTTTTAACAAGTGACCGCTGCTAGTATGGCAACATGTAGTGATAATGAAATCATGAAAATTATATTTTATTTTTATTCTAGTCATCTCATCACCGCTTTGTATTCATTTAACTATATTTGAAAGACGAAGAAAAAAAAAGAATTGATTTCTTTTTTGAGCATGTCAGCAAGCTGTAAACAGATTATTTAAGTTGAACTCAACTACTAACGAGTGTGGAAGTCCTTCAATTGATAAATCGCTTTTCAATCGAGATCATGTGCATTATGCAGAGATAGATGAGCTATAAATATCATGAAAAGAAGTCCTGTCATTAGCTTATTATTGCGGAGGTACTGCACTTTTATGAGATTGTTTTAAAGTGAATGTTGTAGTGTCGGAAAAATTGATTTTCGAATTTTAACATCAAACATATCATACAGACAGACTTTAATGAGAGTAGTTTATTGTGAAAGTTTTCGGATGTTTTGGTTTACTTCTATCTCGAGATAAGAACATACCAAAGTTAGTTATTTTAGCAGATAAAATCCGACAGGAAAGAGTTCATCAAGTATTTGAGCTAGTGCTCGTACTTAATCACGCACAGACAATTTGTTGAAACTATTATTCAAATAATCTTTGATCGAAAAAATTCATCAATTTTGGTTACAGTACTCCATGTAGTCATTAGGAGCCGTTTGATTAATGACGTTTATCAATTAGATCGAGCGTCTGAAAAAATATAGGTGGATATAAAATAACTATGATACGTTCTGATGTAGGATAATAAAAGCATTTTTATGACTATATAGTTGGATGTTGTTATAATGACTTTTGATGTCTTGAGCGCTAATCGATGATCTTTGTCTTCTCATTCTATTAATAAGTAGTTTTAGGGAATTATTGATACAGTATTGGTGATTAAAAGTCTGCCTTCTTTCCATATCTGCCAGTTTTTTAAAGAGTATTCGACTAGTTGTTTTTAGAAAAAATACAAAACATTGTTTTACAGCTAAATTACTACGTTAAATTGTAGTTCATGAAGATTATTTGAAGAATCTAAACTGATTTATGTATGACATATCCAGAGTTTATCATCTACTATCATTTCATGTATTCGCCGTATTTCTGTAGTCAATCATGTCCAATAAAATTTCATTGATCTATATAGTTGCTATTCACCATATATTGAGTGTTGTAACCGAGATGATAAATTTTTTAATCAAAGATTATTTGAAAAATACTTTTAACAAATCGATTATACATAATTAAGCATGGCTATTAGTTCAAACAATTATTGGAACAAGTGATTAATTAACTTTTTCTTGTGGGCTTTTATCTGTCAAAACCATTATTTTTAATATTTTAAAATAGGAATAGCGACAAGATCTGAAACATTCACAAAAAAAAGCTATTCTTGTTAAGATTTCAAGTCGAAATTCGAAAATCAGTTATAACGGTATTCATTTTAAAGTATCTCCACAGCAATAATCTGAGGACACAAACTCTTTCCAGGATTTTCATAGCTCATTTAGCTCTATATAATGCACATAGCTTCAATTCAACAGCCGTTTATCAGTTGGAAGGCTTCCCTCGTAAGATTTGAAGATTCATTTGATAATATGTTCATATTTCTAGTCATCAGCAAAGAAATGACGGTTAATTGATTTTGAAAACAAAGTTGATAGAAGGTTTATTTTTAACGATCACCCATGTTGTAAAATATCAATCAAAATATAGGGAAATTTTCTTAGAGATATATTACTGTCAATCTTGTCTCAATTAGCAGATGAATCTCAATAAATATTAGTTAGATTGATAAATATAAGTATTCTTCTTTTATTTAAAAAAATATGATCATAAGAATTTCATTCTTTTATTTTCATCTGTAAAGTTGATAATAAAAAAAATAACATTTGATAAATCACAAGAATCTGGTTTGAAATAAATATTTTTTTTTTTTTTTTGTTAAGATGAATATTTAGATAGTATAAATCGTAATTTCAATATCATCTTCTGCAAATACATGTTGAATTAATTTAGATACTTGATTCCAATTAAGTTTATCTAATCCACAACCAATTCGAGGCATTGCCAAATGATGAACATTATTTTTCATACATAAATCTCGCATAACTCGAAGACTTGATTCTAATGTAGTCATAGTTGGTTTATGAAAGTATCTTTCTTTTGTTACCAAATAAAAAACACAACGATCATCTGCAGTAATATAAGCACAACCACCAATTGGTACATCTAGACAAAACAAACAAAGGAAATATAAAAAATAAAAAAATTTTTTTTCTAAAATTCTGATAAATCGAGCAGATTTTGATTCGAATATGAATCCACAACGACTGCTTGATCTCAGATTAGTTTATTGATTTTGAATTAAAAAACCTACTTTGACTTTTAAGTTCATCGATTTGACCAAATTTATCACGAAATAATGTTGCAATGCCTTTCCCCATACTCATATCTCTTGAAACACAATGTGCAAGTGATGTATTTGATGAAGCCGAAAAAAGATCACCATGAATTTCACGAAAGTTTAATGGCATATTTTATTTTATTTTTTAATCTTAAATATGTAAAAGTATGCTACAGCAAGAATCAGTTTCATTCGATGCTTTCAGAATATTCATCGAATTGTTTTTCTGATTGATATTAATTTATTAAATAAAATTTATATAAATATAAATATATATATATATATATAACCAACTGATTTAACAAAATAATTAGCACTGTATTCAAAGAAGAACCAACTAAAACAAGAAGAGTGAGAGAAAGAGATTTACAGAAATTCAAAAATTCATTAACAATGACGAATAAATAATAAATAAATAGTTAACAAATGAACAGAACATAAATACAGAAAATATACTGATGATAAGCGAGGACGATGAGTTAATGTTATGCCAAGTTTACTAGATAGAAAAAAAAAAGAAATATGAATATTGTTCAATTTTTTAATAGACAACTATAAAGGTTACATTACAGAACAGAATATATGTATGATTGTAGAGAAAGACTTAATAGTGTATGCATTATCAAGTTCTACTGTATACCGATGACATGTCAATGATACGCAGCAGAACTTGATAATGTTTGTACTATTAGATAGAGAAAGTCTTGTTCTACATTTCCATATATATCCCGTTCTGTAGTTGAAAAACATATAGTCGCCTTTCTTTTCAAATAGGCTTACCTTTTTAATTCACCTAATAAATTTAATAATGCAGTGGGTGTATTTATTGTGGAATCTAAAGTATATTTGATTAATTAGTTTTTAGTGATTAATACAATGTAATGTTACGTTTGGTTGCTGTTGCCAATGGGATTTCTTCATCTTTCATGTCGACTGCCATCCTAAATTTACCAGAATAGTTTAGAATAGAAACATTAAAAATAATAATTAAATTAATTTTAATTGACTATTTTATGTGGATAGTTGAATGAGATTTTGATTTCATTAAATGATATCAGGGATGAATTATTTAGAAAAGTAGCATGTAGAAAAAAGTTCAGAACTTTCAGATGTCATATCATCGAGATTTAAACTATTTAAAACATCGATGCTTGTCCATAGATATTGTGCAAAATATTGATATTTTGAAAAATTAAAATATCGGTTATACGATATGTGAAAATTCCAAATTTTTTTCTATAAACTAGTCTAGTTGAGATGTTAACAAAGTTTCAGATTGAAATCCGAAAATATAAACCTATTGAAAAATTAGAGTCCCACCCGAAAACTTCCATAAAACTGTTATATCTCAGTCAAATCATACCATGGGATCATATTCACTACGGATCTTTCTGCTTTATCGATCTCAGCAAAATATCAAGAGGAAAAAACTTTAAATCACTTCATGGAAGTTTCTCGTCCGCATTAGAGATATGCAGGATAAACTTTTTTGTACCCTGTCGTACATTTACCTTTATCTTATCCTACGAAATTTTTATTATACCCTCTTTGAATACTACTCTAATTGGAAGACTCTAAATGTGATAAATAGCAAAATACTATGACGGTATAGATGCGCAGGCTAACCTTTGTCTTTCCCTGCAGGGGAGGGTAACAATATACATCTCTAGTTCATATCGATTTTATAAATTTATTTCAAAGAATTTCGAAAGTTGACTAATAACATGACCGAAATCATGATGCTCTAATATTCAATTTGAAACTGTATTTACAACTAACCAATGATTCGATTCAGCTGTTTGTTGAATAGGTAAATGATGTGGTTGTGGTGGTGAAGATTGTTCAATATCAATTATTGCTACTTGTGAATCTATTATAAGATAAATATTTTTTTTTCAAAAAAATGAAATCCTTAGAAAAATAATATCTTACTTATTTTTGTTGAATATTCTTCTTTATATAATTGATATTCATTTTGTAAATGTTGATATTGATTAATTTGATTATCTAATTCTTGTTTTAAATTTATAATTTGTTGTTCATTATCAAATAAACGTTTTTCTAATTCATTTTTTGTTTGTATATATTCATTGATTATACTTTGTTGTTGATTAATATTTAATAATAATTTTTCATTTTCTATATGCATATATTCATTACGTTGAGTAAGTTGATTTGTAAATATTAAATGATCTTGACGAAGTTTTAAAATTGTATCAACAATTAAATTAATATCATCAACATTTTCAAGTGTATCTAAAGATTTTATAATTATAAAAAGAAAAAAATCTACATAAGAAAAATCTTCAGAGAAAAAAAATACCTTTAATTGTATAAAGAATTGTTTGTAATCGTTTATTTTCATTTTCAAGTATTTGTTTTTGTTCAAATAATTCTTTTTGATTTTTATCTAACTGATTTTTTTCATGCATTATTTGACGACATCGAGATTCATATAACTTTCTTTGTGTATCCATCTCATTCTAAGACAAAAAAAAATAAAGTTTATGACAAAAAAAAAATAAATAATAAATAAACTTTTATTGATTCAATTTCAAGTTTCATTGTCTCTTGTAATTCTTGTTGTGCTTGACATTCATCAAGTGTAACTTGAATTTGATTATTACCACTACGTAATTGTTGTTTAATTTCTTCGATTTGATTTTTATAATCGATTTCTTTTAGATGAAATTCATCAAGAGATTGATTAGTTTGTTTAAACTATGAAGAAAACAAGACGCTTGTGTTTTTTTTTGTTTCGTTTGTTTTAAAAAAATATTTTACTTGATTTGTTAATGTTTCATTATTTGTTTTCATTTCTTTCATTTTACTTAACATACGTTCACGTTGTGTTCGTAATTTTTCTAATGTTTCTTCTTTTTCGAGTATTTGATTACGTTGTTCAGATATTGTAATATTTAATGAAGTTAATGTACTATTTGTATCATTATGATTTTGTAATTTGTCTTAAATGAAGAAAGAAACAATACTACAAAATATCAATACATTAAAATAAATACCTTTTAAATCAATATTCATTTTTTCTATTTCAGAAAGACGATCGAAAATTTTTTCTTCATTATCAATAGATAAACGTGTTAGAAGTTGTTGTTTAAAATTAGAAACTGAAATAAATAAAAATATTTCATCGAATAAACCAGGCAGAATTTAAATCCACTAAGCTTTATAACCTTATTATAATGTATCATTCTAGCTTTGGTAATACACTTAATTTATTTTCACGGAGATAGTATAATGACAAGTTCTTGGAGGGTGTGAAGATATGACCCATACTCATGTCCTCACAAAATCATGAGCTTTTGAAGGCATTGTATGTTTCAAGTTATATTAGGGAAAATAATATTGCATCACATACGGACCAACAACTTTGGTCTAGTTCAATATTATATAGAAGGATCTGATCAGACTGATCGCTCTGTTTTGAATTGGACTTATGACCTTTCCCTATAGAGTCAGAGTTACACAAACATATCATAGAATAGATTACAAGATGAAAAACACATAGAGAAGAAAAAAAACGAACTAGTTTTAGAAAAGATTATATTTCGTCTTTTCATGAACTCGTTTTAATTCTATTCTATAGTGAGAAAAGTTGGGCGTCCGACTAGTCCATAAATAGCGCCTGTCGGATCTAGATTTGGGAATCGACCAAGGGAGAAGAGTGCGACTGCAAGTACTGGAGTCGCACTTTCCCCTTCCCCTAGGAACCGACTCAATGGGCCATACTCTAAAAATAACAGCCAATTATACCTTGATTATTCATTGTTAGGAATTATTAAAATAGAATCCGGATCCAAAATGACGGGCGCTCGTTCCGAGTCGCCTTCTATTATTATTAAAACTAGAAGAATATGTTTGACTACTTCTTGGAGAATACGAGTAACTCTTCATCTCAATCTTGTGATCATGATCAATGATGTTCAAATCGACATCATCATTACTCAACACCAACTGAAATTCAAGAATTACTGCTGTCATTTTAATCTAATCACAAAGAGATTTGACTTCCCTATCAAAATCGGTTTACAATAGAATATTGAGAGAAATATTATCTATAAGATTTACTAATAAAAAAAATATTACTTTTCTCAATTATATCTTCATCATGTTCAATCTTTCTTTGATACATAATCAATGCTTGATCAATATTAATATTATCATCATTACAAATTAATCGACATAAATTGTCGACTTTTGTTAAATAATTTTGTAATTTAGATATATAATCCAAATTGTCTAATGACTACAAAAGAACGAGGATCATAATATTTCGAATTTTCTCTTATTTAGCTTGGTTTTTCATACTTTATCAAAATCCAATTGATCGATTAAGTTTTTTAATTGATTATTTTCTATAAGAACTAATTGAATATGTTTAAATATTTCAATTAAATTCATTGTTTTAATATTTGTAGATGTTAATTGATTATATTCAATAGAAAATGTATCAAATATTACACAAATTTCATCGATTTGTGTTTGAAGTGATGAATCTAAAATGAAAAAGAAAATGTTTTCAAAATTAGTTATTATAAAACTAAATTATTTACCAGAAGATAAACCTAGTTTATTCATCATTTGTTCAAAATGTTTATTAATCACATTTTCTTCTAAATAAAAATAATAAGACTAGTGAATAAAAATTATTCGATTATTTACTTTGAATAAGTTTTTCATATTGTTCTTTTAATTGATAAAAATTTTCATTTAATTTCATTACAGATTGAACAATATTTTCATCTTCAGTATTCAATAGATTTCGAAGTTGTTCATTATTGAACAATAATTTATCGATTAGAGCTGGAGAAGGCTATAAAATAAAATTTGATGAAAATATTTTTTTTTTTTTGATTAAATAAATTTACTAATTGAGATAATTCTTTGATTTTGTTGATTATTTCTTCTGGATTATCTATTTCTACATCAATGAGTTCTTTAACTTGATTATAAAAATTATCATCATTATTCGTTGTTTGTAATTCAACATCTATATATGAAAGAGATAAAGTTATATGTGAAATAATAATAACGATGAAGAAAAAACAAACCTTGTTTTTCTTGAATAGATTGATTTAATAATTCTTGAAGTTGAATATTATTTTCTTGATA